CGCCGTACCCACCCTCCCCTCCAGGGGCAGGCACTGCATACTTGCTTGCCCCTCCCCCTGAGCCCTCCGTCTCTGAAACCCAATCCCCACCCTCCACCCTGGACATCGACATCGCTTTTCTTCTCCTCAGCCTTCAGCTTGACAATCTGTTATTTCTTTCCATTCTGTTTTCCGCCAGATCAGGTTGGCCCCCAGGTCTGGCACTGGGTGTCTGTTTGCTCCTCAAGCCCAGCATCTGTTTTTCCTTCCGCAGTGGCCTGTTTTCCCTTTGGGTAACCGCTGTTCCCCGTTGTCATTCTGTGTGGCTCCCAGCTCTGTGGAGGGGGGACGCGATGTGATTCGGAGCAGACCAGTCACTATGTTCCTCCTGCTGGCTGCAGCACTTGGCGCGGAGACAGGTGTGCGATCTGAGCCAAGCCGGTGAGACTCAATTCTGGGACTTCTTTTCTTCTCTTTCTTTTCCTGCTGGGTCCTAATAGTTTACAACGTTGTGAGATTTCAGTTACATGTTATTACTCATCCATCACCATACAAGTGCTCCCCTTCACCCCCTGTGCCCACCCCCCACCCCCCTTCCCCTGGTAACCACTGAACCTTTCTCTTTGTCCATGTGCTTGTTTATACTCCACATATGAGTGAAGTCATCTGGTGTTTGTCTTTCTCCATCCGGCTTATTTTGCTTAACACAAGTCCCTCCAGGCCCATCCATGTTGTTGCAAATGGGATGGATTTGTCTTTTTATGGCTGAGTAGTATTCCATTGTATATATATACCACATCTTCTTTATCCAATCATCATCAACAGGCACTTGGGTTGCTTCCATGTCTGGGCTATTGTGAATAATGCTGCAATGGACATGGTTTCAAGTTCTTTGGATAGATACCCAGTAGTGGGCTAGCTGGGTCATATGGTATTTCCATTTTTAGTTTTTTGAGGAATCTCCACACTGTTTTCCATAGTGGCTGCACTAGTTTGCATTCCCACCAGCAGTGTATGAAGATTGCCTTTTCTCCACATCCTCTCCAACATTTGTTATTTTTTGTCTTAGTGATTATAGCCATTTTAACCGGTATAGGGTGATGTTTTAGTGTAGTTTTGATTTGCATTTCCCTGATGATTAGTGATGTTGAACATCTTTTAATGTGTTTGTTTGTCATCTGTATATCTTCTTTGGAGAAATGTCTGCTCATCTCCTCTGCCCATTTTTTGATCAGGCTGTTTGTTTTTTTGTTGTTCAGTTGTGTGAGTTCTTTATATATTATGGAGATTAACCCCTTATCAGTCAATTCTAGGACTGTTGTGGAACTAGTGAGAAGTTTCTCTTACTGCTGGGTTTTCAAACTAGAGGATGGAACCCTGGAGCTGCCAGGACCACAGTGTGCAGAGAACCTGCCTGAGAGTAAGGCCAGCACAGTATAAAGATGAGAAAAGAGTCAGAAAAAGCCCTGATGACATTGTTGAATGCCTGGAACCAGCATGCCTGAAGCCAGAGCTCTATCTTTGGATTTTTTAAAAATATAAACCCATAAAATCCATCCCAATTTTTATTCTTAAGCCAGCTTGAGTTGCTTTTCTGTTCTTTGCAAGGGAAAGACTTCTGAGTAACACAGCAATAGATGAAGAAAAGAAGACTTTTCTTGCTGTGTGACACAGCGTCAAGCATCGACAAGACAATCAGCCTGCATATGGCCAAAAGTGAACCAACGCCTGTGTGTTACTATGCTAAAAGAGGCTCTGTGTCTTTTCTCTGCTTTGACTTGCATCATATAATGCTCCTTTGTGTTTTCTAGACCCTAGGAAGGGTTGGGGATGGGAGGATAAAAAAATTTGCTGAGCTGCAGTCGTGTACAATGAGAAACAGAAAATCAGGTGGACAGCAGAGATGTCAGCTCCGCCAGCGCCCCCTCTCTCTGCTGGGCAGCTCTACAGAAGCCAAACAATCAGGAGGGTAGCTGGGTGAGGTTGACATCAGAGCAGGGGAAGCTATTTGGGGTTAGCGACTAAAGAATAACCTTTTCATGTCATTGGGCATCCACCATTAAGAAAAGATATTGGTTGGGGCTGGCCCCGTGGCCAAGTGGTTAAGTTCGTGCACTCCACTTCGGCAGCCTGGGGTTCGCCAGTTTGGATTCTGGGCATGGACCTACGCACGGCTCATCAGGCCATTCTGTGGCAGCATCCCACATAGAAGAGCTAGAATGACGTACAACTAGGATGTACAACTATGTACTGGGGTTTTGGGGAGAAAAAAAAGAGAAACATTGGCAACAGATCAGGGCCAATCTCTCATCATCAAAGGGGGAAAAAAAAAAGAAAAGATATCAGTTATAACAATCCAAATATCACAGAAATATATAAAATAGAATATGCAAGCTCCGTTGATTACCATCCCTGAGCATGATGGCTTTTAACAACGTATTCCCTCATGGTGACCTCATTTTGGCCTAGGAGCCACTTTGTTCCTTAAAGCTGCCTTGGCTTAACTGTCATCTGTACTGGCTTTATAGCTGGACATGGCTCCTGTCACTTCGCGAGGTGGGTGACCTTAGGTGAGTCCTTTCGACTTGGTTGAGGCTCAGGTTTTTAATTTGGTAGAATGGGGACTGTAGGAAATTACGGGAGATTGCCTAAGCCCCCTCCATCCAAATCTGCTCGGGGGCGACTCAGTAATTTATGCGCTTTGCTTTGTAACTGACCTCGACGTAACCGATCCCTCCCAGGGACACGGAGATAAGACACTTTGGTGATCTGTTCAGCCAGTACTTCTTAAAGAGCAGTCAACGTGGGCAGGATCCACAGCACAGCCTGCAGCGGATCTATCCCAGGGGAAGTACAAAACGTCTCTGGAGCCTTAAACTCATCTAAGTTGCTCATTCTACTCCGCGATATATGTGTGCTGGCTGCAATATTAGAATTCGAAAACTTGGAGTCCCTTCGAAGAAAATACAATGTATTTGTTTTTTTTAATTTCTGGACAAATATGAACTCACTAATTCTCAGTAAAACTTTTTCTTTCCCTCTGAAATGCAGTTTCTTCCATCCTGTAGCTTCCCGCAGCCCCGGGGTTATAAGGCGTTTGAGACGCATAGCCTCCTCGGAGGTTAGAATGTCACACCCGGCTGCGAGTGGGGAAACCAGAGCCAGCTCTCTTGATGGGCTGTCTCTCGCACACACCGAGCAGGTAACCACAGACCCACGTCCTACAAAGACGTTTCTGATCCGAGCTTTAAGCTCTGTATCAAGTTCGCCGAGAAAGGAGTGAGACAGCAAGGATGTTGTGAGGTCAAGCTGTCTGATCCACGCCTGGCCTCTGATCTTGGCCAACCCACCCTCACTCCACGCTCCAGTGGCTGCAGAGAGCTGTGTCGCAGCCAAATGCCCCACGGCCCCGACTCCTCTCTTTGCCCTGGGCTGTGTCTCAGCTCATACTCTTATTCCAGAATTCCTGACTCTGTGCTCCTCAGAACCCGACCCACCACGCCTCCATCTCCAGCCCCCTCAAAGCATCCGTGTGTCCGAGGGTGGCTTGGTGGGAGACAGAGGAATGGAATTTGGAAGCAGAATGACAATAACAGTATAAGAAGATCGAGTACAGAGAAGGAGAGACGAGGCAAGAGGGAACTGCAGGAGGCTGCAACTTTTATTTTTTCTGTTTTTTGAAAATAATTATGTAAAAAAAATTATATAAAAAATAATTACTGATGAACAAAGAGAAAAGGCCATCAGTAATCAGCCATCCCACAGTCCACAGAGAATGAATTTTAATTTGGTATTTCCTTTTAGACTTCTTTCTGTGCATACTTACACAAAAATGTTTTTGTCCCTTGAAAGCAGGACCTTGCTATTTATATTTTGGTAATCTATATTTTTACTTAGTAGTTTATCATACATCTCTTTCCATATTGATAAATACCCTTTAAATCGTTCTTGAAGGTTGTATGGTGTCCTGTCACGCGAATGTGCCATGTTTTAGTTAATCAGTTCCTGCAAGCGGAATATTTAGGTTGTTTCTGTTTTCCACTGTTAGCAGCGGTCCTGTGACGAGCATCCTTGGACATGCGCTTTTCAGATCCTGCCCTTTCAATGTTGCAATATGGACGTTGTCTCTCTATCTGCCTTTTTGGGTGAGGAGCAGCTGGTGGTTGAGGGCCCAAACTCGGATCTGTGCTGAGTTGTTTATGAATCTGATTTAAGCTGTGAAGGTTGGAACTCTCCGCTGATGAGCAAAAGATGAAACCACTTTTGTCCGACTCAGAATCACCGACGTGAATCTACCCCGGGATTATAGAAATCAGATAATGAACCCCTAAGGCCACATTTTCTTTGAATTCGGAATGATTCCAGGGTCTAGACCCATTTCTCACTGCCGCCTCTAAAGGTGCTTTTCTGTCCATTCCACCCCCTGCCTCTGGCGCCAGCTCTAGTTTAGGCTTCAGCTTGGACTTCTTCCTTGACCCCTTTCTGACCCTTTCCTGGG